GAAAGTGATAAATGTTGGAGATGTGGGAAAATTGGAACACTAATGCATTGTTGGTGGAGTTGTGAACTGAGCCAATCATTCTGGAGAGCAATGTGGAATTATGCCCAAAGGGTTATAAAACTGTGCGTACCCTTTGACCCAGCAGTACCACAACTATATCTGTATCCCAAAGCGATTTTTAAAAAGGAGGGGAAAGGATCTGTTTGTACAGGGGTATTTATAGCAGTTCTTTTTGTGGTGGCAAAGAATTGAAAACTGAAGGAATGCCCATTACTTGGGGAATGGCTGAACAAGCTGTGGTACATGAATGTAATGGAATACTATTGTGCTATAAGAAACGATGAGCAGAATGATTTTGGAAAGACTTATGTGAACTAACGCAGAGTGAGGTGAGCAGAACCAGGAGAACATGGTACACAGTAACAGCAACATTGTGTGATGACCACCTGTGAATGACTTAGCTCTTCTCAGCAATACAATGATCCAAGACAATCCCAAAGGCCTCATGATGAAAAGTGCTATCCACCTCCAGAAAAAGAACTGATGGAGTCTGAATGAAGACTGAATACTATTTTTCACTTCTGGTTTTTTTTTGGTTTGAGTTTTCTTCCACAAAATGACTATTATAGAAATATGTTTTACTACATGTATACTTCACATGTATAACCTATACCAAATTGTATACTGTCTCAGGGAGGGGAAGAGAAGGGGGGAAAGAAATTGGAACTCAAAATTAAAAAAACAAAACAAAACAACAAATGCTAAAAATGGTTTTTACATGTAATTGGGGAAAAATATTATTAACAAAAATAAACCCTACAAATGTACAAAAAATACATGTTTTACTACCCCCAATGGAAGTCATAGCTCTTTGTCATTTGTGAAATTTTCCATCACCTGGCCCCTTCCTGCTTTCCCAGACTTCTTGCTGGCCATTTCTATCATCCAGCTCCCCTGGCCCAGTTGCTGTTCCTCCAACACTACACTCCCTGCCATGTCCCAGCTTTTGCTCTCATTCCTGGAAGGTATTCCTGGTCTTCCCTGCTCCCTCTCACACCTTTCAGAATCCTTGGCTTTCTTCAAAACTCAGCTCAAATGCCATCTTCTGTTGGAGGCCTCTCCTAGGGCATTCCAGCAGCTGAGGCCTTTCCCTCAGAGATCATTGAACTGCTTTGTATACATCCTGCACATAACCGGTTACGTACATGTTTGTCTCCCCCCTCCATGAACATCTTGAGGGCAGGAGTGTTTCTGCTCTTGTAAAATAACTGCTTGCTGACTAACTGTCTCAAACCCATTTCTGCTCTCCTACAAACATGAACCACTAGAAAGTCCTAAGTGCAATGGCCTGAAAGCCAGGAAGCCCAAGGTCTAGCCCCCGGTCAGACTGCCATCCATTTCCAGCGAGATCCTTAACCGGTCAATCAGGCCCCATCGAGGCTCAATGGACCTTAGTTTCTGCATCTGTAAAAGGAAGTGGTTTGTCTGAGGTCTCCATGATGCCTTCTAAAAGAAAAATGTGAGCTAATTAAGAAAATATCAATATTTTGTGTAGGGGGAGGGGGATATAGGCTAATCAACAGGCTTTTAATATAATCCAATGCTTCAGAGTATTTCCAGTTTTATAATTCATAATTATAAATTCATGGGTATTTGTAGAATCATAATCTGATTTTCTATATTTCAAAAAAAAAATGAGTTTTGTCTTTTAAATTACAAACTAAACTGCTCTAACTTTTTTTTTGGTAACTGACTCAACATAACACAGCAAACAGCAAGTCACACTCACTTTCAAGAGAAAGCTTAATCTCTCTGGGGAAATGAGATTCCTAAGCAGCCTAACTGAAAAGGCAGTAGTCTCCCAGTATGGTAGAGCAAGGTGCTTCATAACTGAAGCTGGCCATGTTGCTTTCTTTACCCAAAACCCTGCGTTGTTAAACAAACCATTTGAAGTGACTTCATGGACGCAAAGATAAAACTTTCCCTATCACTGGACATACCAAAGTAGATTCTCTTTCCTCTGACTTCTCTGGATTTTAAGTTTCCTTCCAGGATCAGCTTCGGCAGCCACTGCTGCCACCAGCTCCTCCTGAAGCGAGCCCTGCCTCAGGCCCAGAGTGCCTAACATGCTCTCTGTATCTCCCAGCAGAACATAAACTGTTTTTCAGTTTCTTTTTGTGTCATCAGAACCGAGAGTCTTGCACACAGTAGGCACTTAATGCTTACTAAGAATACTGAGAAAGAACTACAAAGGGGTATAATTTATCCAATTAGTTACAACATCTTAATATTTAGCTATTTCTATATGCTATGACTATGAAGGAGATTTTAACATGTGCTCAAATTCCAGGAGACTGACCACACATTGACATATTCTCTCCTGTATGAGGGGTGAGTTCAGATAACTGCACCACTCCATCAAAGCACCAGGATAAAGAAAGAAAGAAAGAAAGAAGCAAGGACTATCTTCCCCATAGAGGAGTTCCAGGACCATCTAAAACAGAGGATATTTACCTTTGGGGTGTCATACACACCCCCTTTGGTAGTCTTGGTGAAGCCAGAATACTATTCTTAAATGTAAAACACATGCAGGATTACAATAAAAACCAGCATTGAGTTGTCGATATGTAAAAAATAAAACAGCCCAGTTCCTGGACCCTGATTCTAGAACTTCACTGAGGCTGTTATAGGACCGACAGGAAACATACTCCCAACACCCACATCCACCTCTATGTTCCCAGCCCATGCTAACTCTGGAAATCTGGCATTTTCCCAGGATGCCCTGGGAGTTCCTTGGTACTCTGGTAGCAGACAAGTAACAGTAGTGAATTGGGCCCCCTGACACCATCCCCCTCACTGAAGAGCTCTCTAGCTAAAAGGAGTTGGGTATAATTCCAGGCCCCTTCGGTTTTAGTGCTCCCCACTGGAAAATCTGTTCCAGCCGTGTTTTCAGGGTTAGTGACCTCAGTCCCCAATTCCTCTTGCAGCTGTTGATAGAATAATCTATAAACTCCAAGGGACTCGAGTTCCAATTCTTCTTCTTCTCAGTTCAGGGTGCCGAGAAGCTGGCCAGTGGCAGCCGGGGCTTCATCTATAAGAGGAAGCTCCCAATGGGTTTCTAAATTTTCCTTCTTGTGTCAAGAAATCTGATTTCATATTCCCACAGAAATAAATGTTCTATCTTGTGATTAGGCTGTTGGGATAAATACAAAAACCCTCCAAGAACATGGAGTGTGGCCCCCGAACAGCTGAGGGATCTTGGAAGAATTCTACTCCCTCTGTAACCTACAGGACGTTGAGCATCAATAACTCAGAGAAAATCATTAACTACTATCACCTTCAGGAGAAGGTGATAATGGGGTGTAGCATGTCACAGCCTTCACAGAGTTGGACTTGGAATAAGGAAGACCGGGGTTCAAATCCTGCCTCAAACACTAGGCAAATACCTAAACTTCTCTCAACCTGCAAAGTGGGGGTGGCTAATAATAGCAAATACTTGAGAGTCACAGTGCAGCTTTAATGAAATAAACATTACAAAGTCTTATGCAAAAATCAAATTATTGTATAAATGCAAGTGAATTTTTATCCACAATCATCTCAAAATAAGTAAAAAGAATTTTCCCACATAAAAATCAATGTAAAGGAGTGCTGTTAAACTGGTTGGGCGATGAAATGTAAACGTTTAGCAAGTACTGAAAATATTTTCTCCACAAGCTACTTTTCTGTCACTATCAATAATTGAAAACCACAACTCTAAGTCAAATAAAGGAACGGAAAAACAATATTGCACGCTGCATTTAGAATCTATAAACACACGCATTCAACATCAAATGCACTAGACACAACCCTTGTCTGCGCTGGCAAGAAAGCAACGTACAAAACGAGCATTTTGACATTAAAAAAACAACCAGAAAATTGTAGCAATGAATGTGTGCTCATTTAATACTTCCAAAATTTTAAGACCTACATCTTTGTCTAAAATCTAAAGAGAAATGTAAAAACACGCGAGGACAAAGGAGACAAATCAACTCCAAAAATACTCCCAACGGTAAACTTATTCTGGCGAGGGGAGAGCGGGCAAGGAGGGAGCAGCCCGGCAGCGCAGCTCAGAGCGTCCAGAATCCAGTCCGGACCCGCGGGGTCTCCGACTGTTTGAGGGTGCCCGCCGGGGCCGGGGAGAGGCCCACGAGGGTCGCTGTGAAGGCAGCCCCCTCGCAAATGTCAACGGATCGTCTGCCCCGAAGGGGGCCGGCCGTGGGGCGGGCAGGAGGGTTCCTTCCTCCCCCGAAGACCACCCCCCAACACTCGCGGGGGGCGGCAACAGGTGCGCCCCCCGCCCGGGCCACAGCGGCTGGACAGCCCGGCTGCCGGGGCACCCGCGGGGCCCGGGAGCGGGGCGTCCGAGCCTCACGCTGCCCCTCGGCCGGTCCGGCCCCCCGACTTCGGGAAGCGCCCGGGCGGGGGACGCACCGCTTCCCGGCCCGAGGGGCACGGGGCCCGGAGCCTCCCCTCGCCCCGGGCGCAGAGCTGGTGCGGACCGGCTCTGGGGAAGGGTCTCGGCCCGGCCGTGCAGCAGCGACCCCGCGTCCGCGGGGGGTCCCGCTGCCAGCCCACCCCCCCAACGCCGCTCTGGCGTCTGGGGGGGACAGCTCGGCCCGTGCCCCCCCCCAGCGCTCCGCACCCCTCCGAGCAAAGGAAAGTGGGCTGGTCACTTTCAGGGTCCTCACTTCACCACCTCCCCTGCAAACAGGGTCCCCGGCCAAGTGGGGACAGCACGGCCGGAGGCCCCCTCGAGCTGCCCCCCGCCCCCGGACCCCCCCCTCCTCCGCCCCCGCGGGAGGGCAGGCAAAGTTCGCGGCGGGGGAGGGGCGGGGGGCCGGGGCTCGCGGGGACTTCTCGGAGCCTCGGGGTCGTCCTCCTCTGCGGCAGGCCCGGGAGGGGGGGTGGCGGCCGCCCCACGCGCGCCCTCGCCCCCGCCCCACGCGCGGCCGCCCGCTCACCAGGGGTCGAACTCGTGGATGATGCTCTCGAAGCGGATGACGGCGAAGAGGCGCGAGCTGAAGCCGGCCAGCCAGGCCAGGAAGAGGATGGTGAAGGAGAGCAGCGACTGCCAGCCGGCCGGCTGCGACAGCCCGCCCGCCAGCGGCGCGGGGCCCGGCCCCGGCCCGCCCGCCTTGGAGCCGGCCCGCCCGCCGCCGCCGCCGCCGCCGCCCGCCGACGCCTTGGGCTTGCTCTCCAGCGCCGAGGGCTCCGCCATGTTGTCGCCCGGCGGCGGGTCTCGCTCGCAGCCGCCGCCGCCGGAGCCGCCGCCGCCTGGTGTGTGGGGCGCTCGCTGGGCGGGGCCGCCCGGGAGGAAGGGGAAGGCCGGCAGCGAGGCCGAGGGGGCGGAGCTTCGCCGCGGGGGCGCGCGCGCGGCCCCGGGATGCTCCGGACTGCCGAGCCGAGCCGAGCTGGAGCCGGAGCGGGAGCGAGCGCGGCCGCGCCGCCGGGGCCGGGACGAGAAAGTGGAGGCGCGCGTTCGGCAGCAAGGACCACCCCCTCTCCCTTCACACGCACGCGCCAACCCCTCCCTCCGGGGTGGGGGCGGAGCGCGGGCAGCCCAAGCCCCGCCCCACGTCCCGACAGGAACTCGCCACCTCGACCTGTCAGAGAGCGACAGGTCCGTCACGGGGCGGGCACTAGCCCGCCGCCGTAGCCAATGGGGAAAGGGATCCCGCCGAGGAGGCGGGGGGCGGGGCCGCAGGTCGCTCCCACCGCCTCAGTCGTCCCGGACTGCGCGGTTACGCTCTCATTGTCACTGGAAAGACGCAGCTTCGCACGTGGGTCAGCCTGGGAAGGCGGAAGCGCTTTCGGCCAGCGCTCTGCCGCTGCCCAAGCCGGGAGCGAATGCCAGGGGGCGCGGGAGCGCGGAGCCTCCGCAGTAGGAAGGCACGGGGGAAGGGCCAAACGCGCAAGGCGGCGTGACATTTAACCCACTTCGTGCGGCCCGCCTTCGGCACCACGCGATGGAGAGGGGAGGGGGAGCGAGGGGAAGGTGCGCAGGCGTGGAGCGCTCGCCGGTAGGGAGCGCGTGGGTCCTGCTAACCGTGGCTTCCCCTGCCCACGTGCCGAGGGGGGCGGGGCAGCTCCCGGCGGCGCGCGCATCTTGCCCTTCCCCCCGCCGCGAGCGCGCGCTGCTCCCGATGGTTGCGGAGCCCGGAGACCCGTAGTGGCCCTGGCGCTCTCGCTCACCCCGGGATCGCGGAGGGGAGTCCAGGCCGGCTCTGACCCTGCACTGAACGCTCTGCCCCCCCCTCCCTGCCCTAAATCTTTAGGGCTCCGTTTTCCTTGTCTGTGAAAAGAATCAAAGGTCGCCCGTGGGCGCCCCGCTCGTGCTAGCGCTGGTTAGAGCCCAGGAAGGCCCCTCCCAGCCGGCATTTATGTGGCTCTTAAGGTCTGCAGATATTTGGCGCATGTTATTCGTCTAGCCCACTCCCTACCCATTTTACAGAGGGGAGAAACTGAGGCCCGGAGGGGTGACTACACCTAAAAGGGTCAAGTTTGGAACCCAGGCCCACTTCCAAAGCTACCCCGCTTTCCAGCTACTCCAACCCCCTCGTTTTACGGTTGGGGAAACCAAGTCTGAGTTAAGTGATGGGAGCTAAAAGGCTTGGAAGGGAGCCTCGGACCTCCCGGTGGACTGGTATTTTGTAGACGAGCAAGCGTGGAGCCCGGGGGTGGGAGGTTCGGGAGCCGAGGCAGCAGGGGTAGCCCATGGTGCCCCACACCAGGCCCACGGAAGCCAGAGGGTAGGGGCTGGCCGGTTTTGCACTCAGTTCTTACCGACACTGCCAGTGCTGCACCAGCCATCCATCCCCTGCCTGGTCATCACCAAGCTGGGAGGGCACTGCCCTAGCTACCTTCCCCTGGGTGCAGTGCCTGCCGCTGGAGGTCATCTCCCAGCCCTCATTTGTACAGAGGAGGAAACTGAGGCCCAGAGAGGGCAGTGACTGACATCTAGGACTGCATGGTCTTTGTAATCCCATCAAACACCTAGCCCAGGCTGGCAGACTAGTTGGAACTTAATAATTGAATTGAGTCGCGGTGAGCCCTTCACACTTAGCTGTTGGCTGGCTTGGGGGACAAGGTTTTGAGTCCGTTCAATTCAGATTAGAGTTTAAGGGGCCTCGAAGATCTTCAGGTCCACCCCATTGGCCCAGAAGAGCAAAGTCTGGTTTTCTTTCTTTAAATTAGTTGGGATTTTAAAATTGATTTTTTATCTTTGCTATTTTTTGTCTGGCTCCTCTTAAAATGAATATCTATTTTTGCAACCTTTTTGGTGCCTGTTCTCCCTAGTCCTATTTGCATGTTCTATACATTTAGTGAGAATAGGCTCTGAAACACCCTACTCCCGTGTGCTGATATAGGGGGAAAGCAGAGAAAAGAAGCGAGAGAGGACCCCACCCCCTCCTTCCAGGCTTGCTCTCTGGTTTGCATGTGGGACTAGGTGGCCACTTAGCTCTGCAACTTTGGTCATTTGCTTAACCTTTAAGAGCCGCAGTTTCTGCATCTGCAAAAAGGTGATGGTAATTCTGGAACTATCTTCCATACAAGACCTGAGAAAGAAAGCTCTTTACAAATCTCAAGAGCTACAGTATATAAATGTGAATTGTTACTGCTTCCTTTATACCTAAACGCAAATTAGGTCGTTAGCGGTTTATATTGTGTGTTCTTATTATTCATGCCTGATAATAAACATAGACCTTGCTAGCAAATTGCAAGTCCAAGGAACCTGAGGTCTCTTCTGTGAGTTCTTCAACTATCTCTCCATAGTTTCTGGAGTGCTACATTCTCCTGGTCCTCTGACTGCTGTTCTCCTTGCCCCACCCCAACTCTTTTCATTCACCTCTTGCAAATTATTCCTAAGGATCGATCCTGGACCCTCTTATCTCATTCACTCAGGCCCCCCCCCCCCCAACTATCAACACCTTGGGGATGTTTCCAAAGCCTTAACCTCTTTGGAAGTCCATCTCCACATTGCCAGCCATTGAATTCTGTCTCTCTGTCCCTGGTCATCCCACAAGCACCTCTGTGTCAGTATGTCCAAAACACAAACTTAATATCTCCCACCAAACCTGCTCCTCTTGTCTAATGTTTAAAAAATTTGTCAGTGTCATGGTCATGCTCCAGACCCAGTTGTCATCTTTAACTTTTTCCTCATCCTCACCCCTCAAAGACAATGGCCGAGTCCTACCCATGTTCCCTTTTCTTTGATTATCCCTCTGTCTGTCTATGAGTCTGTCCATCCCTTCCCCCCTTCCACTGCCCCAACCCCAATCCAAAGCTTCATTATCTCTTCAGGCAGGTGCCTCGCCTCCTAAAGAGCTCTTTCTCGACTCTCTCGCCTCCAATTCATGCTTCACACTCCTGCCAAACTGATCTTTATGCTAGAGCTGATCATATCACTCTCAGCTCAGAACCAGTGAGTCACTATTGCCTATTAACTCAGGTTCAGACTCATTAGTCAACTATATGAGAGCCTTCCTACTTTTCCAGCCTTAAGCCTCCTGCATGCTCTTTTCCCACCTCCATGCTGTTTTGTGCATTATGCCCAATTCCTAGAATGCCTTTCTCTGTAACCTAAGCCCCTCCCTAATGAAGCCTATGCATCCTCTAAAACTTAATTCCACATGCATGAACCTCTGGGAAGCCTTGTGGATTGCCCAGTCAGTAATGGTCTCCGCTCAGGCCTCCCATAGAACTCTGCTTGCACCAGGTGTTGTTTCAGTTGGTAGTTTTATGTGCATATGTCTGAGCCCTCATTAAACTAAACTCTGTGAAGGCAGGAATTATTCCTTATCTAAATTTTGTGTTTTCCCCCACCTTCTGCTTAGCACCTTCAGGTGCTGTAGACAGTAGGGGCTTAATGAATGTTTGTTCAATTGTCTTCTCTTCTGCTCAAACTCTTCTTCCGTAAGCTTCCCAGGATTCAGTTATTTCCAAGAATAGTAGGTTATAATGGGCCACTTTCTGTACCTTGAGTATGGTACAAGTATTACCTCTCCCTTTTCGCAACATTCTTAATTATTTCTGTGAAAATATGAAGTCAGTGAAACAATGTTGTAAGTGATCTCTTCCTGAGCAGCTGAAAGTCAGTCTAGAAACCTTTAAATTTGGTGTTGACATCCATAATTATGTCAACATTATTATTGTGGTGCTTACTTAGCCCTTCCCCTGCTGCAGACAGCCAAAAGTGTTTCTTACTTGACAACTGGAGCAAGGGGAAGTCTATCCCTATGCAAGGTGGGGAGAGGGCTTGGTCTATGGTCTCTTCATAATTTCTTACCTTGTTTCTGACTGGCTCCCCCACCTATGTCCACAGATGTCCCTCGGTGCTATGTTCTGGGCCATCTTGTCCCTGTATTCTCTTTTGATCAGTTCCTATGAGCTGTCACCTCCATACATGTGACTCCCAAATCTCTGTCTCCCGCCCTAGTTTCTTTCCTCAATTCCAGTCCCACTTTGCCAGTTGCCAGCTGCTCAGCATCTCTACCAGGCTATCTCCCCATCAACACTTAACATCTCCTAGTAGAACTTTCCCCTCATCCTCCATATCTCTTCTATACTTTGCTGTTTCTTTTGAGGGCACCACCATCCAGTCACCCAGGTTGGTAACTTCAAAGTCACCCTTGATTCCTTCCTCTTTATCCCCCAAATCCAATAATTTACCAAATCTTGTCAATTTAACCACATCCATCCTCTCCTTTCCCTAGTTCAGGCCCTCATCACCTCTCACTTGCAAAAGCCTCCTCACTTGAATCCCTACATCTCATTTCTCCCCTTTCCCAGCCATCCTCCTCCACAAAGCTGCCAAATTAATATTCCTAAGACAGGTTTCACCATGTCACTTCCCCTATCAAAATGTTCAAGGGTTCTCTGTTACTGTTGAGTTGTTTCAATCGTGTCCAACTCTGTGATCTCATTTGGGGTTTTCTTGGCAGAGACACTGGAGTGGTTGGCCATTTCCTTCTCCAGCTCATTTTACAGATGTGGAACTGAGGCAAACAGGGTTAAATGATTTGCCCAGTGTCACAGCTAGTAAGTATCTCTAGGATAAATATCTCTCCTGGCATTTAAAACCCATAAATATCAGCCTGGCATTTAAAGCCTTCACAGCCTGGCTCCCACTTACCCATCAAGAAATTTTATAATGTTTGTCATCAGCCAACTTTATTCCAACTTACCTGGCATGTTAGCTCTTTCTTAGACTCAACATTC